TGGGTACGTTGGAAGCATATTGTATTACATAAAGCAGCTCATTTTAACGTTGCATGAATTGTGCCGTTACCTCCCTGCCCTCTGCTTCAGACACAGAGCAGCTATGTGATACGTATCACAGACGTGACTGCCATAGTGAAGTCTGTGCAGACTCATACGGCTTTTATCAAGCAAGCGACTGTGCTATCAGTATTGGGCCTGATCCTGATCAAGTGCAAACTGCTGCAGCCACTGTCATCAGGATGTTTCCAGGAAAATGAATAAATCAAGGAAAAGAAGGCAGCAGGGTTTTCTCCTCTTTCTTGGCAACCAGCAGTTAATTTTGTTCCAGCTGTGGTTGTTGACTTTTGTATGACAACCCAAATATTTTCACTGAAAACAAAACTTTCAGGGAAACCCTCTGTGTCTTTTATTTTATTTCCAAAGGCGAAACTCTTCTTTGAAAGAAACTGCAACCAGTGTTAGGACACAGCCTGGATCCTCCACTTGCTCCTGCTGGCTGGGAATCTGGCCTGTTGAGACCTGAGGTTTCTAGCAAAGAATTTGAGAATTGTTATCTCTCTGATGCTTTTAAATAAATGTAGGCAGCTGTCTGAGCCATAGAGTACCCAAGCCAAAATATTGTTCATTCCAAGTGGATTTACTCCATTATAAATTGTCTACAAATAATTTGGAAAGTGACAGTGTTTCTTAAATTATATTATCAAGCTCTTTAAATATTGAAATGCATCAAATATTAATGCTTGGCAATTCAGGGTATCCTTAGTCTTGGTTACTGCAGTATTCTGATCAGCATCAGAACCATTCTATGCTGGACCTTTGCAGAAGAGGTGGTACTAGCTAAGGGAAGGGTCATATCCACCACCCCCATGGGCGCTTAGCTTCAGGGGTGTTCTTTTCAGGAGGGAAATGTACAAGTCCATATTGCAGGAATAGAGCAAAGGAGTGAGCAGGCACAACCAGAGCCAGGAGCAAACATGCAGTGATGAATGCACCATCTAAGCATGCTGCTGACTGTATGTGTCCAAGTCCTGCAGTGCAGGTCCAGAGTAAGCTGCTATCTGCAGACTCCTCCAGTCACCACCACAGGAGCCCAGTGCTTGTGGGCTTTTCAGTTCCAGTCTGGCCATGGAGCCCTCAAGTGTCTTACAAGTTACATGTGAATTGGAGCCCATGTGGCTGTTCCTGAATTTAGGAATATCACAAGGACCAGGCTGCTGTGATCCTCATCTCATCAGACTGAGAGGCAGCTCTGTCAGAAGGCAAGAAAATATGAGATGATAAAAAAGCGCCACATGTGGATTTTACATGACAGGGGTGGAGAAGCTGCTCCTGTAGAAACCAGAATCCAAATGAATACAGTGAGTATCAGACCTCCTTTCCTTCCAGAAGAAATTCCAGAACAAAATTCATATCTTCTTTTTTGTAAGCCAAGGAGAAGTTCCGGTTTAGCTGATGGAAGCATCTCATTTAGAAATGCTGGTATATCATTTTGCATGCACGCTCTGAGGCTGGCGTCCAGTGGAAGGGAGCTGGGGATACAAGGCAGGCTGCCTGTCTTCTAACTATGTAGGGCATCAGCAGGAGAGTTTTTGTGGATGCTAGGTTGGACAGAGCCTTGGGTGACATGGTTTAGCGTGAGGTGTCCCTGCCCCTGGCAGGGGGGTTGGAACTTGATGATCTTAAGGTCCTTTCCAACCCTAACTATTCTATGATTCTATGATTCCCTCTTTCCTTACTTACTTTCACCCCTCCCCATCTCAACCCACCGTGTGGTACTGGAGTCAGTAAAATCAACATGTTCTTCTGGAACATTTCAACTTTGACTAATCAGGAGAGTTTCTGACAGAAAAATGTTCCACTGGAAAATTTCTGCCTAGCACTAATTAACATTTTTCTATTAGTTTTGTCCTGAAGGCACAGTAATTTATGCCTTGGTGAAATAAACAATCACTTAATGATCACTAAGAATTGGACACTCCCCAGGTTTGAAGCGTATTTGCTTACCTTAACCAAAAAAGGTCTTATTCGCTTGCAAAGCTTTACCTACTTAACACAAGGAAAGAATGGCTGCCTGACTTTCTTGTGCTTTACCTGGGCACAGGTCCAACTGCATTTTAATCACTTTGCTTTAAAAGAGGGGGGGGAAATAGTGGATTTTCACTTGCAGTGCAGTAAGGTTTTAACTACACTGGAGACAAGCTGTGTATGTGGAATGAGAGATGGTCCATGCTCAGAGATAGTCATAGAAAACAACAGGAAAGCAGAAAATTACCCAAGTGCCTTAGGAGTTCAGATTTCCTTACTATTCATCTGCCATATGAGGAACATATCCTAACCTGAGTTTCCCACTGAGTCACAGGATAATTTAGGTCATGAGGGACCTCTGGAGGTGCAGCCCCTGCTGAAAGCTGGGCTGACTTCCACATTATATCAGGTTGCTCAGAGCCATGTCCAGCTTTCATAGCACGTAATGCTGCACAAACGCACCTGAGCAACACATCTTAACATGTTGAAAACATCAGCTGCATTCTGCGCCTCCACCTTTTCTCCGCAGCAAGCCTTTATTTTGGAGCCCTGTGCAAGCCAAATGCAGAACAACAAGTCCCAGGTGGTCTCTGGGAAATGGCTGCGAATGCTGGGCATATGGTGCAGCTTTTGCTGCAGTGAGAATACAGCTACCGGGTCTCCCAGGAAAGCAGGCAGCTATATTTAAATTACTCTTGCGAAATTCACATTGATATTCACAAAAGACACTTCAACACCTCTTTGGTGGCTTGTAACTGCAGCACACAGCATGGGAAAGAACACTAGACCCTTTGAAGACCAGGGCCCCATTTCATCTCAAGGTTACAGCATTGTCTGTGGCAGGCAGATGACAGACAGCACACAAAAGCACCACCTCCCGGAAGAGAATCCTGAAGATGCAGCACTCAGCTGCTCAGTGGAAAGACGGATTTTCCCCAGGAGGGTGTGCAACCCTGGGAGGGGACCTGGGTGGATGGGGGTGGATGCCTGTCAAGGGACCAGGGTTTAGCAGATGAGCCCCAACCACTCTTGTCTGGTGCAGGCATCAGTCCTGATCCCAGACCTGTGCTCACGCTTCTGGAAGTGTGGTACCAGGCTAAGCAGAGCTGCTGATGTCCTCCACATGTCTGACCACCAAAGGTGGACTTCGTCCCTCTGGCCAGATTGTTTTGGAGAGCAGGAGACAAGTCAGTAGGCATGAAGTTCAATGGTGGCTTACTTTTATAGAATCATAGAATAGAATAGAATCATAGAATAGTTAGGGTTGGAAAGGACCTTAAGATCATAAAGTTCCAACCCCCCTGCCATGGGCAGGGATTTCCCCTGTGGCCCACTCAGTGCTTGGTGACACCACTGATTGTTTTTCCTTTTGCTTTAGGAAAATGTCTTTCACCTTATGATCTACAGACCCTGATATAAACTTCACCTCTCCCAGCACGGGCAAATGGAAAAGCTGTCAATGGAAAATATGAGAAGCTATTTGGTCACTCCATGTAGGGAGTGGAGTTCAGAAAGGGTGGTGTCATTCATCCAGAGGGTGACATGCGGCGGCTGTGCAGAAGGGCAGATCAAAGCCAGAAAACAGCTTACCCTCTTGGCCTGGTGGTTACTGAAACTCTGAGTTAACATGTTATTCTCAAAGCCACATACGTTTTACTTTAGTTATGCATACTTGTGCTTTTCAATGTGTCCTTCATGGAAAGGAGAACACATGCAATGAATTGAGGCAACAGTCTTGCTTTCCTTAGCCCATTTTCGTTAGCCCTAAGATTTCTGACCAGCAATACATGGAAGTAAGGAGAGACTGTGAAACACAAATACACCCACACAAAGCAGTATCTCTAATTGGGCAATTTGTAACATAATAATGAAATAATGTAGTTTTATCAGTAATTGCAGCTGGTGAGCTGGTGAGCCCTTAAAAAAAACATTTATTCTGCCAAGTGTTCAACAGATGTTTAGGAAAAATCTGAAACAGTCAAGGTCATTCGTGTGTGGGAATATACAAGGAATTTCCTTTTCCTGCAATGAATCTAAATCACAAAGTTTGAGAATGGCATTTTCAATTCACATGGCCTCAGTATGGACACCTACATTTAGCCTTAGATATCTAAGTGCCTTCATCAGTTTTCTTTCATCCAGGGAGCCTAGTCTAGAGCAATCGATTAGGTCACTAATACCTTCTTTACTCCCAGTGGCCACTATAACATACAATAAAAATGACATATACTCAGTCCTGCCCTTTCACTGGAGCCCTTAACATTCCCATTTGCTCAGCAGAGATAACAAAGGGCAGGATTAAGGTTAATTATATGACTACTTTCCCGACCTGTGACACAGGGCTCCCTGTATGCATTTTTGTCCTTTATCAGTCCTTTCTGAAACTTAAACCTAGGAAGTATGGAAGGTAGAAAGGAGAACAAGGAGTGATTTGTTCATGAGTACATCTTCAAGGAGCTTCCAAACTGCAGCCTCCACTCTTCATTGTTCCAGGCATGTCCCACATTGGCTACTGTAATATCAGAGGAATGCTTACTCCTGCTACTGCTGCTAATCTGGGAGCAGTCACGTGGCTCTTCTGTAATCTCTCTCTCTCCAAAAATTTGACTCTTAACCTTCCCTCGCTGCAGACATGATGTATATTGCCTTGACATTCTTCCAAGTAGCAAACAAGCAAAATCCTGACCTGAAAGTAAAGCAAACGGAGGGGGGATATTTCTGAGAATAGAATTATGTGAGCCTACCGGAAAGGGAGAAGAGAAATCTGCCTCAGTCACTTCTGTTTGCCCTTGCCTAGGAGTTACTTTGGAGAAGATAACAGAATGTTAATCTGGGGAGAAGGAAAAAACCAAAAGTTGTTCTGAGGTGCAAATAAAAAAAAAAGGGGGAGCCAGCAAAATGTATCTTTATTTATTTATTTTCATTCATTTACGTGTCAGATGAAGCTGAAAGCTGCCAGATAGTTTCTTTTCGACAGCTTGGAGTTACTGTTGGGAACAGATCCATGTATGGAAGCAAAAGCAGAAAAGCATAGATAAGCTGAGATCCAGCTATGCAAACCATCTTTAGAGACACTTAGAGGACAAGTACCCCAGCTCCTTTCTTTCTGGTAAATTTAGAGACACTATCATATGTGGGCTTTTTTCCATTCTGCTTTACCCACAACTGCTGAGACTCGGCTGGGGTAAGTGAAAAGCAATTCAAACATTTCTTGGGAACACCTAGGTATTCAGCTAGCTGACACCCTGAGAAAAGCCGTAAATCTTGGGCTATGGGATGACTCCAATAGCTGGATAGCAGTTAAACTCTCCAAGTAAGGAACATGACATATAACAGCTTTGCCGCTGGAGGGACAGAAACTTTCCAAGTGTCTGAAACAGGCAAGAGAAAAATGTTGGAAAAGAAGATTTTTATCACTCACGGACTGGATGTACAGGCTGACTGATGTTAGAGCTTCAGAACACAGGGAGAGGGGCAGGAGGGATCGGAGGTGGTTTCCAGTGCCTGAGCCTTTTGGTGCTTCTATTTAGAAAAATTCATAAAAACAGTCAAGGGTTTCTTCTTCCCCGGTCTGTCCTACTTTCATTTTGAGAAACATGTCTTATTTGGGTTGAGCTGACTGGACATTAGGAAGAGCTTGTTGTAAATGACTGTTGTTTTTCTTGGCACTTGGAGGCAGTTTCTCAATGTTCCTCTGTAGATTTGAGGTTGATCACATCCTGTGCAAGGATTTTTTGGTACGGTTTTAACTGCCATTGCAGTGTTGTGAAAGTCGACCCCAGCGAAAACAGCTGTGTGCTATTGTGAATATTTCCAAAGCACTGAAGTAGTAGCTCACTTTCAAACTAGCACTGAAATGTGTCAGTGCTGTGAACCGGGCACTGTCAGAAAAGCCAAGTAAACCCTTGGCAGAAAGGCTTTCTCCACGGAAGTGTTTTGTTTAAAAGAACACAAAAAAAGCTTTCTGTAACCTTGGCTGAAACTCTTGTCGGTTTGCATTGGTACAGTTAAATGTGAGATTTTTCTTTAAATGCCACACAATGGCATTTGGGTAACAGTTATGTGCTTTCAGGTGTTATAATACAGTATTCATACTCCCACTGCAAAGTGCTAGGTAGATCTTTCTCATTTTTCAGGTGGTTAATAGACTGGAAAAAACACTAGAACAGGTGAAGTGAAATTATACAGAAAGAACTGAAAATAATATCGGGAATATGACTGAAATTGTAGGAGATTTCCAGAAATTTGAAGGATGGTTGTAAAAGGAAATTACTAGACCACAAATGTCAAACATCCCCACTAATGAATGAAAACGCTTTCCCTTTTCCTTACATAAAAACATATAATGGAAGTGTTTGCTTGTAACTCCATAGTAAAGTCTGCAGTTGAGAGGGCCCACGCGTGCAGCTCTCATTTCCCCTTACTAAGTTAGCATTTCCATGGATATTCCCACCTTCCTCTTTTATATACTCACTGAAATACGAATCTCTCTGTCTGATTTCCTCTCAAGTACTGTAAAGAAAATACTCAAAATTAAGCTGCAGCTGAAATTTGTCTGTGTCAGGTAAACTTCTCTTTTTTTTACCTTTTAAATACATATATGTGTATGTAATGTGTCTATAGAAATACTAGTACAGAAATTAATCTTTAAGTAATTGGGGTCAATAAATAGCTTTTTAATTGCTATTGAGTAATTGGAAAATAAATCTTTTTGCTATTATTGCTATGAAGAGCACGTCTGCATTTCACACTCAGATTGCTTCTATTTTCTATTGGATATGGTTCTGTTTCATAAGTTGCTGTGACCCTGGTGATAAACAAAAGCTATTCCCCAATTTTTCCCTTTTTTTCCCCCCTCTTTTCAAGGCTATATGCTTCCCCTTCCCCAGAGACGATGACTATCTGATGTGCATGGTCCCTAAGTAAGGCATTACGGTTGTGCTAGGCATGTCAAGAAGAGGATGTCAGGATGGAAGTGGAAAAGCTGGGACCTATTTAATTTGACCTTCCCATCTGGCCCAGGGCCTGGGACAGTGTGGCCCAGTAGACAAAGCCCTGGTGGCAGGAGTCATAACTCGGTTCCCCGCCCCAGGGCAGGTCATCCCTTGTGTTCCCTCTTTCCATCCCTCTATCAGAAGCATTTTCAGGCAGGCTGTGTTAATCACTAATGTTTATTATTGCTACTATTACTAGTATTATTATTATTATCATCATTGTCATCACCATCAGTGTACTAATTATTATTAATATTTACTAGTGATTAGTCATGGGCATTTATCTTGTGCAAAGCTGATGGGATCTCATTCAGGGCCCCTAGAATATGAACAGTCATAGAAAGCTCTAGCAATAATATCACTAGATGTCTTTCATAAGTGACTACCCATTATGAGTGCTGCAGTCTCTGAGCACCCTCCACAAGGTCCTCCCACAAAACCTTCTTTGCCAGGGTGTAGGGACGAGAGGGGGAAGGGGGAGTTCTGCTTTTTCTCACAATCAGACAGAGTGAGGCCACTGAGCTGAGCCAGGGCAGCACAAAACCCAGCAGTCGAGTAACAAGGGCAGAGCTGAGCTCCGTGCTTATTCTCACTAGCTGTGGACAATGGGAAAGCTGAGCTTGCCCCAGTGGCACTTGCAGCAAGCAAGAGTATGCTGTGTGTCTCGTGCTAGGAGCCAAAGACACACAGGACTTCTTGGGGCCACTGGTGGGTTTTGTTCCTAAATCTGAGTGCTTTTCATTTAGAAAAAAACCCAGCACACGGGTCTCCAAACGTTGGGTCTGGAGAAGTCTTTGCACCAGATAAACATAACTGGTTCCTGAAAAGGGAAAGCCATGTTTGTGGTTTATAGTGCATGCAAGAAGAGAGCATCCTTGAAATACACCTCACAGAGGGGAGCTATACCGTGAAGTCACTGAATGAGGATTTCACAAACTGGCTCTGGTTTGAAGTAAGGCCAGTGTGCATTCTCCTCCTTCAGACAACTTCAACATTTTTACAGTAATTCCCAAAGGATGGACTTTGGACACCATCTCTGTCTTTTCTCTAGTAAGTCAGAAGTTTGGAGCAGATTCTGGGAACACACTGAGAGACTGATCCACTGCTCTGGCCAGATACATTTTATTGCCTATATGATAGAGAAAGGAGCTTTATGTAATGACTCTGCCTGTTCCCAACCTAGAAACCTGCAGACCCATGTGCCAATTCAAATCTGGTTTGCCTAAGGAAATGAAGCTTGAAGAATATGATGTTCCAAACCAAATACCTAAAAATGGGCAGCTGTCTTCTCTGCTTTTCTTGCTCCCAAAACGTCATCTTTCTTTTCTTGTTTCTCTTCCTCCAGGGTAAGGAACAATGATCTATCTGGAGAGGGTTTCATCAGAGCACTAACAAAGACAGGCAGTTTTCTTATAGAAATGTTGTTTTAGGAGAAGTCTGTGTTTGCAGGCTGCAAACACCACATGTAAATACTGTAGCATGCACCTTGGTGCTTGCTGCTTGCAGTCTCATGTTTAGCAGCACAGATATGCCCAGTATCGTTCATGCTTCTTGTACCTTCATAACCTTTGAATTAGACTAGAATGGGAAATGAAAATAGCCTGTGTTTTAGAGAAACTGTGCTGCCATTTTTGTTTCACTGTGTTAAACTCTGGGTGATCCAGGCTCACAAACCTCTTCCTTATGAAAATCTTGTTTATAATAACTGACTGCACAGCATGAAGAGATGAGTAAATAACCCCCAGTGGCCTCAGCTGAGCTAAATCCAGGTGTCATTTTTGGTCACTCATGGACATGAACCACTCCTAAATTTCCATCCCCTGATGGGATGCCCAGAGGTGACCTGGATAGGCTGGAAGAGTGGGGTAGCAAGAAACTTATGAAATCCAACAAGGACAAGTGTAAGGTCTTGCACCAGGGTAAGCACAATCCAGGAGTGCAGCACAGGCTGGGATTAGCCTGGCTGGGGAGAAGCTCTGTGGAAAGGGCTCCTGGGGGATACAAGCTTAACATGAGTGAGCAGTGTGCAGTGTAGCAAAGAAAGCCAAGAGGATGCTGTGCTACATCGACAGGAGCATCACCAGCAAAGATAAAGGTGTCATTATCCCACTCTACTCAGCTCTTAGAATACTGTGTTCAGCTTTGATCCCTGCTACACAAAAAAGATGTGGACAGGCTGGAAACGGTTCATGGAAGGGCCCCAGAGACGATCAAAGCACTGGAAGCTGGCCATATGAGAAAAGGCTGAGAGAACTGGGTTTGTTCAGCCTGGAGAAAAGAAGGCTCAGGGTGATGGACACAAGTTACTCCTGGGGAGATTCCAGCTGGACACAAGAGAAAAATTATTCACAATGAGAACAGCAGCCACTGGAATAATCTCCCCAGGGAGATTATTCTATGATTCTATGATTCTATGATTCTATGATTATTATCCAGTCATGGATTCCCGAACACTGGACACTGTTAAGGTTCAGCCAGACAGGGTGCTGGGCTATCTAGTCTAGGTCATACTTTGCCTAGAAAGGTTGGACCAGATGATCCTTGAGGTCCCTTCTAACCTGGTGTTCTATGATTTTATGATCCTATGATAGAAACTGCTTTTAATGCCAGGCTGGAGTCTAGTTTTTACAACATACCTTTACATGATAGTAAGTTTTCAGGTATTCAGCATGCTGAACCATGGCATTGCTGAATTGTGCTCACATGGTAGGAATCCTGGGACTGGGGTTTGAAGACAAGGCATTCAGCAAACGAAGAAAGCCTCTTTACAAATGCAGGGAAGAAAATCATAATCTGAATTTAAAGTTGCATGCCCCAGAGCTAAAAAGCTCTGTTTTAGAGGTGTCCTCAATATTTACCCTAAGCAGTTGGCAAGATGTGCCAGCTGGGTATGGCTGCGGAGACCCTCCAGGGTGCTTCAGACAGGCTCCAGTCATGAGCCTCACACTTCAGACCCACCATCTGCTGATCTGTGCTGCTATGGGAAGAGACAACAGCGTGACAGCTTTGAGCTGTGGTGGTGTCTTCTGCCAACCTACAGGTAAAGCAGGGAATTTATGAATTGACATTCATTTTGGAGTTTATCCTTTAAGAATCTCAGTGTTATTCTGGCAACACATGGGGGAAAAACGTAGCAACAATACAGTAAATCTGGAGGTCTTCAAAACTGTTTATTCATATCTAGGGCTCCAACCATCACTGTGATCTAATCATAAATGTATTCTTATTGCATAGGGTCACTGTAGGGCAAAGCTGAAGTTGTTTAGTTTTCCACCCTTCAGCATATTTGGATTTCTTTTATATTTAATGCTGAACTTCCTCCTGAGTTTGGGATGTTTGTTTTTAGGATCTTTCTAAAATCCTTGGAATGCTTAACTCTGACGTTGCTAACATAAAATGCAGGTTTGGTTTCTGATGTCTCTAGCTGAGCCTTTTCCAGAGATAGAGAGAGGAGAGAGGAGAGAGAAGAGAGGAGAGAGGGGAGAGGAGAGAAGAAAAATATTAGTTTGACCAGAAGTTTTGTCCCTGGGATGTTTCCCATGTTAACCCACAGACTATGGCATATCCTGAAGATTGCAAGACTAATCCCACATGACACCACCACCACACACCATTTTGCTCTTCCAGAAAACTGTCCTTCCTTTTGTCAGAGCACCAGATTGGCTTTTCTTTCCCTCTCATATAAGAAAAATCAGGAAACTAGAGGAAAATGTGGAAACAGAAAAATATGGAAAGTGCAGGAATGTGGCCTGCAAAGATATTCTTGCCTTTCTGTCCCACCACCTCACTTGAGGCTTCCTTGAGTCCCTGTTGGAAACTTCTGCACATTAAATGTTCCCTTTCTGCTTTCTTCTCTATCTTGGGGTGTATTGGACACCCTTCTGTTGCAACATGGCCAGAAAGGGGTTGTGGTCTCCTCTTTGTCAGCTAGGTAGGTCCCTGCAGACTGCCTGGACAGCAATGTGCAAGGAGGTGAATGGCATGGCACCATCCTGGGCTACCTGTATCTAACTCACTGGGAGATGGGCTGGGATCCTTGGGTGCAGTGTACCTGAAAATGCTCCTCCAGGCAGCTAGGTCTTCCAAGCTACAGGGAGATCTCACCAAGATGCAGAATTGTTCAGCAAGCGTTAGGGAGCAAGGGACAGGACATGAGCTTACAGGAGGTGGAGGGGCATGGCCCACAGTGATCTGAACAGGGATTCAGTGTGTCAGGCCGAAGCCTGAAGAGTCCTGAAGCAACTGAGGGGAGGTGCTGGTCCACCTGAGGCAGCTCTGACCACTCTCAGGTCTTCTGAAGGGGCCTAGGGCTGGATGGGCCAGTCTTATCTCTTGATCTAAAACATCTTCGCCTTTCCAGATCAGCTTGCTTTGACACCTGTTTCTAAAAGCAGCAATGATGCATCAAGGCTTAGGCTTCAGTGTGGGAATAGGGAGCCCACCTATGAAACAGACCCCTCCCTGTCGTTCCCATCATCAGCAATTGCCATATCTCTACACTGGGACAAGGAAGCAAAACCAAGGTGACATCTACTTGCCCAGCATGTAATTCTCAGCTCATCGCTTCTGCTGCAGTTTGGCCAGCACGATATTAGAAAAACCCCGTATTATCTTTTTGGCTTACAGAAAGAGACCAAGCAGAGACCTTGTTCTTCTGCCCTAGATGCAGCAATAAACATTTGGATTTGCTGCTAGATTGTTGAGACTGCCAACATGTACACAGTGAAAGTAAACCCTTCCTGTGGCCACAGACCACAACATGCTAGTGATCCATGGTATTATCCTGTTATTTAGTGAATCATTGTCGCTGCTGAGAAACACACAGTCGAGTAAGTTGCTAACAATAACAGTGGATGTGAGAGACAAGTGTTTGTTTTACTCTGGTGTAACTTATTCCACATGGTCCTTTAAAACATGTTAAATGTTAAGTCATTTTGGCCTGCCAACTATTATTTCAAGATGACCTCCTGGATTTAGCCTCCTTTTCAGAGCATAGCTGTTTGAAACAAGGCTCTGGAAACATCTCCTGCACAGAATAAATGCCCAGTTCAGAAGCAAGACAGATGTTCTCAATTGCCTTATCTTTAGCTGGATTAAGTAGGTCTCCATTTTTATTGATTGTCCAGAATAGTGATGTTTACTGATGATCTACTGTGACACATTTCAGATGTAACCCAAGGAGTTAATACAGATTCAACTTCAAGCATTTACCTCCTGTATGTGTTTTTTCAAGTTGCTGATGAGCCATATCTTTGTGGAAACCTAGCAGGCTTTCTAAGTTGTCTTGGTAGTGCTAATTCTTGGGCAAAATACTGCAAAAGGAGAGATATGAAGCTGTGAAAGTTGTCCTCATTGCACTCTCTAGCTACAGTACTCAAAGGTTTAATACAGTGAGCTCCAGCACCACAGTGGACCCTTGTGTGATGTCCTGCACTTGGGTTTTTGCTGTGTTCTGCACTGGGCCTTGTCCACAGCACAGCTTGGAAATCAAAGACATTAAGTAACAGGAAATAGATGCTTCAAGAAGCATCTTTCTCAATAACTGAGAGATTTGCCTTTTGGCTTGAGTTGATTTAATCTGAAGTTAATTTCTGAGAATGAGACTAACCAGTACTTAGAGCATTTTAGAGCCTTGCTGATAACCTCATTATTCCCCTGAAGTGTGACGTATCTCCAACTTATCCTAGACAAAACAGTTAATCTTGAAAGTTCTCTGCTGCGAGTGTGCATGAGGATCTATGGTTCTGTGGAGAGCAGTGTGTAGGGAGCAAGCACGTTTTATTATCTGAGAAAACTTCTTACCAGCTTAGTGGGCAATGATTTGTCTCTTCAGCTACAAATTGCTGGGTAAGGTTCAGGACAAATCATGAGTACTTTAGAAGAATTAGTTAGTCCCTTTCTAGACACTTGAGAATCTCCATTACAAACTGAAGACCCATCTGAGGATCCATAATTCAGTGACAATTACCACATTTTTAGAGGCTGAGGCAAGCTGTCTAGGTGTGCTCTTTGCTTCATGTGTGCCTGGAAAGTGCCTTAGTGTGTTAAAATGCTGAAGATGTACCTCCCTCATAATGCACTGGAATAATTTGGTCCTTGACCTTTAATTTCAGAGTTCTTACCTTAAAAATAACCAGGCAGACTATCTTTAAGCATGCTTTGATGCACACACCTAGAAGAATGCTACAAAGCTGTGCCACTACTCATGTTTTCTAGACATTTTCTGTCCCTGCTGGTAAAAACATACCCGATTTTAACATTCTTTTCTTTGAAATAGACAATCTGATTATTTTGAAACGTGCCTTGATGTATGCAGCCTACGGAAAATTACAGAACAAGACAAGCTTGAAGACTCTAACATTAATAAAGCTGATGTTTTGCCAGCACAAACTGCCTTCATCCTGAGTTGTAACTCCATCTCTTGTCTTTGGAGTAGATTCTATTTGACACGTGTCTTTTCTTTTGTGGCTGTAACTTTAGCTAGTTTTTTCTACCCAAAACATTTGCAGGAAGACACTGCTGAGTTGAGCTCTTTGAAGAGCTGGAGGTATGTTTAATGTGGCATATGTGCATGGCCTGATTGACTTTAGATACAGCTACAGACATGTGTAGCTTAGCTCATTTGTGATTCCCTGTATTGTTGAACTCCTGTGGTGCCAGTGTCCACACTTAAAACCCTCTGTAGAGTCAGTCAGGAGAAATGGGGACTAAGTCCCTCCTGACCATGAAGGCAAGCTGGACACAAGAAAGGTGGAAACATTAGGTTTGTTTTTCTGCTTCAAACTGTCGTAACTAAGCACAGAGCTGATCGACAGCCCCCAGTCAGTCCTGAGTATGTCACTTGCTTTACCTTATATTCTGCATTTGCCCCTTCTGTTCTTCCCAGGTTTTGCTTCTTTACCAAGTGTTTTTCCTCCCAGACAAGCCATACACCTGTATTTACTTTTCCCCCACTGGCCCCAGGTTTCCTGACTTTATACAGTTATTTGCTACTCATGATATGGTTGCCTTGGTAATTTCTACTTCAGTAAGCAATTAAGCTAGTAACCTGCTTTTGTTATATGCAATTTTCCTCTTTTATACCATTTTTCATGCTGCTGTATAGTTAGTGTAACAACTTGTCAGGGATACTCTGCTGTGTATACATTACTCCTTATGATCTGCAGGCTCTGGTTGCTTCTCATACCCTTACTTCATGTTGTAGCTTATACAGCCATAAGTCAGGGTTAAGCAAGACATTATTTTGGCTTTGTTATGAGGAGTGCCCATGTGTGCCCTTGTGCTGTTTTCTCATTAGAGTTGCAGTTTGGTCAGGGCAAGACATCTGCATACTACCTGCAATTTACAGTGGGACAGGCTTCTAGCAGGGCAAGTGAAAGGAATCATCACAGTAGAACAAGTGTTTCCAACACAAATCTTCCTGTGCTTCCCGCTCCTGAGAGCATTGGGTAAGCTTCAAGGTACCTACGGCTGAGACAGCAAAACTAATGGAAAATGTGGGTGAGGTAAATGGTTATGAGCCTGGAACAAAGCTTGATAGGACAAAATGAATGTAGGATATATCATGGTCTTCAGAGCAGCCAAAAGCTCTCTTCCCCAGTGTCCAACTGGCTAAATTGCTCATCCATCCAGGAAACAGCCTGGAACCAAGGCCAGTCCGCTCCCTGGTTGCATGAGCTCGAATAGCATGGCCACCTAGATCTGCTCTTCAAGCAGAGCTCTAAATTCCAATGCTCTGTTTTCCTACCCCAAATCTTTGTCCAAAGCCTAAAGGCAGGTTTTCTTTTCTTTCACCCTACTAACCACAACAGTGGTTTTCTTTTTTGTGATGTGCTGAATGTCTCCTAACTGTTCATCTCTCAGATGCATCTTCCTGATGAAATGATGTCGAGAACAACATCACTTACATCTCATCTGACCTCAACAGAGGTCTCATCCTGAGGTTTCCAATGCCATTTGCAGGTGAAACAAGGCAGAGCTAAGGCACATGCTGGTGAAGTCAAAGCAATAAGGAGGCAAGGAAGATTTCTGACCATCCTGCAAGGACAGCACAGAATAGAGCCCATTATAATGAAGACAAGTTTCATTTTAACAGAAGTTATTTCACATCCTCTTGCCTAATGGGCTTGGGTTTTGCAAAGTGTTCCAGCAGCTTTCTTGACCTGGAATATATAAATAAAATATAAATAAGGTGCTTTATGCATCTGAGGCCATTCACTTCTCACTTTTAATAAAAAAGTCTATTTTCCTTGGAATATGCAGCCTCGCTCAGGGCTGGCAAACAGATGGTACAGAGGAGGCCAAATTACCTTCACAACCAAGGGCCACAGCCAAAGTCATGCACTACATCTGATTCACCCTGCATCTCCCACTGATAACAATGGAAACTTGCACACAGATCAGATGAGGCATATGGCCTCATGTGACACCAGAGCTGTTGAGGAAGCATCATGGTCCTCAGTTTGAAGGACATAGCTCCCAAATCTTGCCACATTATCATGGTATTTTCACTTTTGCTTTTTTCTTAAAGTCCCGGTTCTTAAAGTCCCTGATTGCACATTTGGAACCTCAAGCAGAGAACACTAGTGCCTGCTTGGTTGTAGTGGTGCCCTCGGGCTGGCATACTGTACCTCCATGGCCCCTTGCAGGACACTCATCTTGAAGCCAGTGAAGTCCCTAGTCTATCGCTTTCACTGGGAAATGCATTTAACTTGACCTTACACCTGCATTTTTAATTCCTGCATTCTGCAGTTTTGTAACAGCAAAAAGCTTTGTTGGTTTTAGTGGGAAAAGATGCTAAGGGACAAGAAATTCAGCAGGTGACATCCGGTCCTTCATTTTCCAGGGACACAGGCTAGGAACTGTTTTTTGCCTGTGAAATGGGATGGGAGTGAGATGCCAGCATTACATGCACTGCTGTTGAGACAAATGACAGCTGTCAGAAGGCTGCTGAGTTTCTACTCCTTTGAGAAGAGTAAGAAGACAGTTTGCACCTTTTACATCTCTTACATTAAGCTCAGGCACTGAAGTCGCTCTGCACACATATTGCATTTTTCCTGTATATCCCTGATGACCAGAAAGCAGGTTTGGTCAGTTGGTTGTTTTTCCAAGAGAAAAGTGAGATTCTGAAGCAGAATTTGAAGAGCATGTGGCTTGTTTCGTCCAGTAAGTGTTTGCAAAATACATGTGACTATTCCCATTCCCAAGCTCCCTAAATTCATGCCCAGCCCCTCTAACAAGCTCTGCTTTCAACACCCACATGGCAGGTGGTTTCCAGTGCAAATACTCTTCTATGTCTGCCACAGACAAGCAAAGCTCTGCAAAATTTGGCCTGTCAGTGCCAGTCTTCTTCCAGGAAAACTCTCTCACAAGCTGTTAAACGCTATGCTCATCCATTAGTGCTATGGATTTATTGTTTAAACATGCATAAAACGCAGCATGGGGCAAGTACTTGGGAAAAAGCTCGAAAGCAGCATAAGCTTGGTTTATCCAGTTACCTCTGTGGGCTTCCAAAGCATTGCAGTGAGAGCAAACCTTATGCTACCAATTCTTCATTGGTGTGCCAAAACATCCCATTGGACACTGCCTTCTCCCTGGGTATAGGCTTTACTCTCGGTTTTCCAGGGATAGAAAACACCTTCCACAGCCAAGACCTCTGGCTGGCCAATGGACAACTGTCATGCATTTAGACCTTCCTGGGGTCATCAGGACTCAGACTGTACCAGCTGCTTGGAAACAACTAAGGAGGCACTGCCTGGAGAGCTTAAAAAGATGTGTGTGTTGTCCAGCACACTGAATTGCCCTTCATATTCACTGCTGTGTCCCACTCCATCCACCACATTTCTAAATGCCTGATTTATTCTCCAAAGAGCAAAGGCAGTTTCAAAGGCATCAGTGAAAGTGAATGCTCAAACTGTTGGAAACTATATTTCTGAGCATCTTTTTTAGAAACACCACTCTCAGGGATCTTCAGGTCTCTGCCAAGAACATGCAGAGGAGAGCCAGAGAAGGTTCAGTGGGCTCATCCTCAAGTCTGCTGCAGTGAGCAGCAAAGACAGATGGATGGCAAGCCAGAGGTGACATCCCATATGCTCCTGCAGGGTCTCTTTGCCATCTCCTGAGGGACTCAAGGAAAACCATGACCAGATATAAATAACCAATGAGGATTCAC